ACTATGTAGATAAGGCTGGTCTTGAACTCACAAAGATCTGCCTGTCTCTGCCTCCAAAGTGCTGGGATTAAAGGTGTGTACCACAATGCCTAGCTAAATATTTTATTTTTTTAATTTTATGTATGTGAGTGTATTGCTGGCATGTATGTAAGTACACTCATGTCATGCAGTACCTGTGGAGGACAGAAGAGGGCATCAGATCCCCTGGAACTGGAGTTAGGGACAATTGTTGACCACCATGTAGGTGCTGGAATTCAATCCCAGATCTTCAGCAAGAGCAGTCAGTGCTCTTAACCGCTGGCTGAGCCATCTCTCCAGCCCCAGTGGCTCACATCTTTAATCCCAGCATTCAAGAGGCAGAAAAGCAGGAGGATCTCTGTGAGATTGAGGCCAACCTGATCTACATCATGAGTTCCAGGCCATGATGGGGCTACAAGGTAACCCTGCCTCAAAATAAAAACAAAAATGAACAAAACTCCCAATATTATCTTTCCATACATAATGTGACTGCTTAATCTGAAGTAATTGTCCAATAAATTCTAGCTAGGTGGAGATAATCATCAACACCTCTCAGACTTCTGGCTATGTTGATAATTGATTGCTTTAATTATAAAGGATGCTAATTTTGTCTGACTTGAGACAAAAATGTGTTGTTCAGGACTAATCATCTGATATCCCACAGTCTGTTTTTTTAAAAATGGGAAATTGGGGGGTACGGGGGAGACTGGCGAGATGGCTCAGCTGGTAAATACTCTTGCTGTGCAAGTCTGATGATCTGAGTTCAATCCTCCAAACCCATGTAAAGTTGGAATGAAAGAACCAACTCAACAAAGTGTCCTCTGGCCTCCACGTGCGTACTGTGGCACAACCCACAAATACTAAATAAATAAATACTAAATAAATGAATAAATAAATAAAATTTTTAAAGCTGTAGAGAAAATTAAACATTTTGAAAAGTGGGAAACTGATATTTATTGTTGTTTAAGGTCTGTTAGGAAGGAAGAATGTGGGTTGCTTTGAAACACATCATGTTTTGATGCAGGTGTGTCTCATCTGAGGCCCTTGCGATGCTTTGAAGTACATCATGTTTAGATGCACAGCTGTATGTGTCCCAGGATAGCTATAGATGTAGCCCAACACATTTGTAGGGGACAAGGGTCATTTACAGATGGAAAGGGTGCGCACGCCTGGTTTAGAGTCTTTGAAAATGGTGTCCACATCATGGATTTACATGATCACAGAATTGCTAGCACAAATTTTTGTTGAGCTCAATCTGGGGATTCATAAGGCAAATTATTTCACTCAGATGTTAAGTGTTAAAAAAATAGGTTATAAGGCTCATCTCTAAGCATTAAGTTTATGATCTATATAGGCTAAGCAAGGTTGCTGGCAAACACAAAGGAGAAAATTCAGACTTATAGAACCTTGGAATTAGGGAGAATTTTAGTGATATCCTTGTGAACCATAACATGATGACTAACTGAATGTAATCTGGGTTAGGATTGAATGTGATAGTGGTCCTGATGTCCTGTGCTCTTTAGCGTAACCTATACTCTTGTTGCCTTCAGGCTGGCCCTCACTGCCATGAATAAATTTGAAGAAGCAGTTACAAGTTATCAAAAGGCATTAGACCTTGATCCTGAAAACGATTCCTATAAGTCAAATCTGAAAATAGCAGAACAGAAGTTAAGAGAGGTATCTAGTCCTGTAAGTTGTTACTGTGAACTCAGTGGAATATATTCTGCCATTCACAATATTGGTACTCTAGTGGCCGGAATGAATCTCAGATGCATTCTTTTACAGACAGGAACTGGGTTGAGCTTTGACATGGCTAGCTTGATAAATAATCCAGCATTCATCACTATGGTGAGTTTATGTCCTTTTCTGATCTACTAGCTATTTCTGTAGCCATATATTTGCAAACAATTTCTGCTATACTTTTTGGTTTGTTTGAGACAGGGTCTCTGGAGCTCTGGCTGGCCTAGGTCTCACTATATAGACCACGCTGACCTTAGAGATCTGCTTGCCTCTGCCTCCTGAATGCTGGGATTAAAGGTATACACCACTATATCCAGCCTCTGCCGCACTGTTTTAAGGAGATGGAATCTTTCCTTAGTTGTCCAAGTTGATCCAAAGCTCTTGGGCTCAAGTGATTCTCCTGCCTCAGCCTCCTAAGGAGCTGGGAGTACAGGCTCTAAAAGTTTTTTTTTAGAAATGAGTGAGAGTTTCTGGTAAGTGGTAAGAGTTTATGGCAGACCTAAGTCAGAAGTTCATCACCTAACCATCTTCCTCTAAGGGAAGCCAGGGATGGATTTGGAATATAGAAGTCAGTGTTTTTCTGGATATGTGCCCTTTATATAATAAAACCCTGTTTTTTCATCAAGTTTGCATGAAAGTTTGTAAATATATCAAAGTTTAAAAACTACTGCCTTGGGCCAGTGAGATGGCTCAGCAAGTAAAGGTGCTTGCTGCATAAGCCTGGTGACCTGAGTTCAAACCCTAGGACCTGCATGGTAGAAGAAGAGAACTGACTTCTGCGAGTTGTCTTGTGGCCTCCACACTCATATTCACACTCACATGTATACTTTAATATATTTTTTTAAAATCAAGGTCTCCTGTAGTCCAGGCCAGCCTGAAACTTGCTATAGCTGAGGATGGCCTTGAATTTTTGAATTTTCTGCCTCTACCTTCCAAGTGCTGGGATTACAGACATGTACCACTATACCCAGTTTATGCAGTGCTAGTGATTGAACCCAAGACTTCATGCATGCTAGACAAACACTATACCAGCTGAGCTATATCCCCAGACCTGCACTGTGTTCTTCAAACCAACAAATAATTTAAAGATCTTTGAAAAACAAACATACTCCAGTATTTAGTGGGTATAGAATATTACCTGGGTATACAGTTTTCCCTGAGTGACTGCATACTTTGCATAAAAAAATACTCTGCTGCCCACATGGTGGTGCATGCCTGCAAGCCCAGAACTTGGAAGCCTGAAGGCTGAAGATGAAGAGTTTGAGGCCAGCCTTGCCTACCTAGAAAACTGAGACCAGCCTTGGCTACATAACGAGACTCTATTTCAAAACAAAAACACAAACATTCCACCATATGGCTATGTCCCTGAAATGCAAGGATCAGTTATTACTCATCTTGTGTATTTCAAATGAATGTGCTTTGCATTCATTAACTCCTTAGTTCAGCTGAAAGACACAGTCCCTCATACATTTAGTTGTCCTACTTAACTATTTGCTGGCAAAATGTTTCTTTCTCAGTCTTATGCTGTTTTAAATCTGGCTCGCTTATTTCTAGGACTTAGGTTATGCTATCATAACAGAATATGAAAATGGAATTTAGTTTCAGATTTAATTTTGTCTTGGGATGCTGCAGAACAAAATACAGTGTGACAGTACTACATAGGAGCTACAGAAGATGCAGGTTAAAAGCACATTTGTTGACTATTACAAGGGCCTGGGGTGGGGCTATGAGTATGCCTCAGTGGCAAAGTACTTAGATTGCATCTCCAAGACCTAGATTTGATCTCCTGCACTGCCAAGAGGAAGGGAGAAAAGAGAAAGAGAGGGAGGGAGAGAAGAAGGAAGGAGGGGAAAGAGCTGAGAATATAGCTCACCTTGGGGCATAGTGCAAGAAGGCCTGGATTCAGTCCCTTGTACTGCCAAAATAATAAGTTATAGAAACTAATTAAAATTAAAAATAAAATTACCAATAAAAAGGGCCAGGTGACTAAAGACTAAAAACGGAGTTTTGGGCCAGGTGTGGTGGCGCACGCCTTTAATTCCAGCATTTGGGAGGCAGATGCAGACAGAGCTTGGTGAGTTTGAGGCCAGCCTGGTGTACATAGTGAGTTCCAGGACAGCTGGGGCTGCAATTAAAATTAAAAATAAAATTACCAATAAAAAGGGCCAGGTTAGTAGAGACTGAAAATGGAGTTTTGGGCCAGGTGTGGTGGCGCACGCCTTTAATTCCAGCACCTGGGAGGCAGATGCAGACAGAGCTTGGTGAGTTTGAGGTCAGCCTGGTCTACATAGTGAGTTCCAGGACAGCTGGGGCTGCAGAGAGATCCTGTCTCAAAAAGACAAAAAAGAAACAAATGAACAAAAAATGGAGTTTCAGAGATCTTTTGGCTTACCATTGCTTCTGTGTGTGAGGGAAAGCAAGGATGTCTTCCCTCATCTCCAGCCCACTGAGAAAGACCTATTCTGGTCTCTGTAGAACAGTCACATTTCTCTTGGCATGGTCCCTCTCAAGTGTAGGAGATTCTTTATACTTTTAAGTTTCTGTGTTTCCTTTGGCTTCATCAATCTGATCAGTAGTAGCAATGTCCTTTGTTTCCAAGGGTATTTATACTATTGTCTGTGATTTGGTTATCCTTGCCATTCTTCTTGATGCTAGTTTGTACAGTACTTCCTCTTGTGAACCCTTCCATTTACAGTGTGCAGCACGCTAAAACTCTGCAGAATGCTACGATGTTTGTCATTTGGCTTTCATTCCTCTACTTTCCAAAATCTTTGTTAAAATCCCTAAGTATTACTGGCAAATTTTAATGGGTGATACTATTTTTCAATTATAGGCTGCAAGTTTAATGCAGAACCCTCAAGTTCAACAGCTGTAAGTATAGAGCATATTGTGCTTTCCCCATCTAATTACTAGGCTCCTAGCTTCATGGTGTCAGCTCAAAAATGATTAAATTGCACTTTTAATCCCAGTCAGAATTTAAGTCCATATACATTTGGCCTTACCTCTTATTTGATGTGGATATATTTATCTGACTTCTATCCTGTGAAGAATATATGTTAATTTCAGTGATATGTCTCTTAAATACCCTAGAATGTCAGGAATGATGACAAATGCAATTGGGGGACCCGCTGCTGGAGTTGGGGGCCTAACGGACCTATCTAGCCTCATTCAAGCGTAAGTATTATTTAACAGAAACAATGAAAACATGTTTGGTGTTTTATGCTTTGTCTCCAAGGGGCCGGAGCTTCATTTCTCTCACTGTTAGTTTGATTAGCCTCAGTAAAGTTATTAACTCTCTGAGAAGTGTGTAAATAGGAGTCACATTTCGTACTGAAGGGCAGGGATCCAGAAGACTTGTACTCTGTGGCTGGCTCCACCTCTTGTTCATAGATTTTTTTTTTTCCCCTTTCCAAAGGACCTTCAGGTACCAGCAAATCTTGAAGAGAGATCATGGCAAAAAAAAAGTAGGCAGTTTACATCCAGAATCAATACCTAAAGGTTTTAGAGCATCCATAGCAGAGCTCAGTATTTTGATTTATAGCCTAAATTTTTTAAAAATTTAATTAATTAATTAGTTAATTAATTATTTTTATTTTATGTGTATTGGTGTCTTGCCTGCATAGTGTGTCTGTGTCATGCAGTGCCCTTGGGGGTCAGAAGAGGGCATCAGACGCCCTGGAACTGGAGTCACGGATAGTTGTTACCCACCATGTGGGTGCTGGGAATTGAACCTGGGTCCTCTGCAAGAGCAGCTAGTGCTCTTAACAGCTGAGCCATCTCTCCAGCCCCTATAACCTAAATTTTTGTTTTCTTCTTTTCAGTATGAAATGAGGTCCTCAGTTTCTTACATGGGGAGAGCAATACTATCATCTGCATTAACAGAGGGTCCTAAGGATTGGTGACCTGCTCACTGAAGCATGTTCATTGTGATCTCATATGTAAAGCAATAAATCCTTTACGTTAACCAATGAAAAGCCAAGAAAAGTTTTTTTTTTTAATTTGACAAACTTGAATAACTACTAAGGGATGACACAGAAGTCATGTGTGTACTGAGACTATGTATTAATTAGATGAATTATACATATTTTAAAGTCACATTTATTTATTTATTTGTATTCTTTTTGGCCTCTTTTGTGATTTCTCAGTTGTAAATGGTTATCCTTTTACAACTGAGAAAGGGTCTCCATGTAGCCCCAGCTGTCCTGGAACTCACTATGTGGACCAGGCTAGCCTTGAACTCACAGAGATCTGCCTGCCTCTGCCTCCTGAGTGCTGGGATTAAAGGTGTGCACCAGCACGCCCGGCTTATTTGTCTTTTTGAGACAGGGCCTCCCTGTAGCCACAACTGACCTGGAACTCAGTAAGTAGCCAGACTGGCCTCAATCTCACAGAGATCCTGACTCTGACTTCTAAGAGCTGGGATTAAAGGCATATGCTACCATGCCCAGCTGTCATTTTTTTTTTTTAGACAAGGTCTTGCTGTATAGCCCAGGTTGACTTCCAGGAAACTGATGGTAATCCTCCTGCCTCAGCCTTGGGTGCTGGGATTACATAGGTGGGTCACCATACTTGGCTTAAAGTCACCTTTAGTTTCTTGGTGGAATATTCATCTACAATTCTTGAGCCCTAGGCTCTATCTCTAGCATCACAAAAATAAGTAGATGAAATAATTTTAAAAATCATATATCATTGTTTAGAACATTTAGGAAACTTGCTTAAACTTTTCAGTGCTTGTTATTACTATCTGCTCAAGCACATTACTGGCTATCAAAATTGCTTGACACTGCATTGTGAATTTGTGTCTGATACTGCTACTGGCAATTTTATAGGAAGTCACAGTTCCATTTCCTGCTTGTGATCAGGACCGTCATCACTTAGAATGTTGTTTTTAGACTGGCATGATTATCTGCTTAACATATGCAATTGAGGTCACAAACTCAGGAATTTGTGGTGTACTTATTTTTGAGACAGGGTCTCAGATAGCCCAGGCTGGCCTTAATCTCCATATGTAGCTGAGGGTGGCCTCAAACTCCTGACCCTCTTGCACTATCTCCAAGGTGCACATACCTGGCTGAGAACTGTGTATATGTGTTTAATGAGGCTGGGGATTGAACCTAGAGCCTTAGACTGCTAGGAAAGTGTTCTTTTAGGCTGGAGAGCACTTGCTACTCAATTGTAAGGACCAGAGTTCTGATCCCAGCACCCATGTAAGAAGCTGGGCATCCCTCACATGCCTGTAATCCCAGCTTCAAGGGACAAAGACGAGAGGATCCCTGGGGTTTGCTGGCTTCAAGCCTAGTCATAAAAAACCTGTAAGCCCCAGGTTCACGGAGACGCTGTCTCAAAGAAATAGGCAGAGAGTGATAGAGGAGGGCACCCAATTTGGTCTAGGGTAGGTGCTGAGCTTGTGTACATGCATACAGAAATAACCCCCCCAACACAGTCACTCACATAGACACACACACACGCACACATACACACATGTGTAAACTCATACTATATATGTATACATATGCATACAAATAAACCTTTAAAATAAGTTCTGTCATTGGGCTATAAATCCAGCCTGTGTTAAAAGTTTGCCTTAAAAAAAATTAGCTATTCAGTGACCTCTATAACATTCCAAACTGGGAGTCGTTATGCCCTACCCTGAGAGACTAGCAAGACTTGACTCTGCAAGCATACACAGTAATAGAGCACACGTCTTAGTCCTCTTAGTCCTTTGTTTATTTGTGATTAAACAGTGGAGGAATAGATTTCACCCAATCCATGCACTCATAATTTAGCTTGGGCAATTTGTTCTTCTTTTGATCCTAACAGAAAGGCCGACAAGCAAAGGCTGTTTTTTTTTCCTACAACAATTCTGTCCTAGGCTGGGGAGGTGTCTCAGTTGGTAAAGAGCTTGCCTTGCTAGAAAAGAACATGAAGTCCATCCCTAGAACTCAAGCAGAAAAAAAAAAAAAAAAACAAGGAGTATAGCACGTTTGTAATCCCCATGCTGGGGAGGAGAGAGGCAGACCCCCGGGGCTTGCATCTGGAGGTCCTGGCCAATGAGAAACCCTGCCTCAAAACAAAAAATGGTGGATTACACCTGAGGAACAATACAAAAATTGTCCTCTGACCTCCATGTGTGCGCCTGTGCTCCTGTGTGCCTGCACGCACATGAACATGTACACAGACACATGTACACACACAAAAGAATTCTGTCCGTAAAAATACTATCTGAAGCCAGGCATGGTGGCACACACCTTTAGTCCCAGCACTCAGGTGGATCTCTGTGAGTTTAAGACCAGCCAGGCCTACATAGTGAGTTTCAGGACAGCTGGGGCTACAGAGAGACCCTGTCTCAAAAAGACATATATTTATATGTGTGTGTGTGTGTGTGTGTGTGTGTGTGTGTGTAATCTGAATATTGTTAAAGGCATTGTTCTACAACTTTTTTTTTAATAGGAAAAATTCCCTTGGGTAGTTCCACATCTGAAGTTCTTTTTCCGAGTATCATGTGACTGGCAATTCCCTGATTCATTTTACTTTTTACTACAGGGGACAGCAGTTTGCTCAGCAGATACAACAACAGAATCCTGAACTTATAGAGCAACTGAGAAATCACATCCGGAGCAGATCATTCAGCAGCAGCACCGATGAACATTCCTGACTTGATGGGGACCCTTGCCCACAGTGGAAGTGGCTTATGGCTCTGACATGTCCACTGTAGAAAATAACCAAAATCAAAATAACAAAAAAGCACCATATACAATATCTGAAAATAACAGAGGAAAACCTCTTGTACATATTCTGAGAGAATACATCTGTTTAGACAATAGGTTTATCACAAACAGACTTGAACATAATACAGCTCCTTTGGAAACAAATTCAGTAGCCTTGTTATGTGTTAATACAGCACTGGGCCAGGGTCCATCCATTTTAAAACTTTTATCATTATTTGTATGTTAGACTTAGAAGCAGAGTATATTTATTGAACAGTTGGGCTATTTATTTATTGGAGAGTTCTTTAGCTAGAGGTTCCCTTAGACAAAGTTTTTGAGAGAAGGGATGACTTAATGGAAAGATTTTCCATGCTGGCTTAGAAGAAATGTACTTGGCACTGAGCAGCATTTCAGGAGAGAAGAAACTTACTATCTAGGTTTAGCTTTGGTAGGTAATATTATCAGTGGCAAGTGTATATCATGGGTACCTGTACTATCTTTAAGACAGCTTGTTCTGATAAGTGACAGGGACTCCTAAGAACTGGTAGAAAGTAATGTTTGGTGCAAGGGATATTTTGAAGAAGAAAAAATAGATACTGTGAATGTACAGAAAGCAAAGATAGTATGCTCAGGTTTTCTGCATAGTTTTTAAACTAATCTCGTCTGTAGTTTAGTATTGATAACATTAGCATGGCCAGTTAAGTACATAATGGAATACACTTAGAAATCCTTAATGGTACTGGTTAGGTCAGTGATATCACTGCTCAATTTAATTATCATAAATTAATTGTCACAATTTCTCTGGTGGTGAACTTACCTCAGAAATTATCAAGTATAGTTACATTTAAATAAGTCAATGACTTGACCCCAAGTTATGGATTTTCTAAGTGGAATTTAATTATGTGCCCATAAACACTGATTTTTTTAACTTAGCATTATTTGGTGGCTAACAAAAAACATTTATCACTAACATTGCTCATTCCTGTCATCTTCTGCTGTAGTTTGGCTTGGCATGCCAGTCTTATGCTTAACTTTCATTTGTTGCAATTTAAACATAACAGGAGACTTAAAATACCTTATAAGTTTCATGCTGTATTATTCATATGGCATATTGTTAGTGGAAATAAATAGCATTAGGCACTAATGGCATGACTCTAGGTGCACTGATGGATGAGATGGCTTCAGCTTCAAGTGGACATTGCTTATTAATCAAAAAGTTGGTTAAATGAGGCTGACATGTAATGATTTTACAAGACCTAAGAGGGAAAGTTGAAAAAGAAAATAATTTAAAACTAATGATGCGATAAAGGCCTTACTATAACGGTTCTCAAGACTATGTATTTAGCATCTTGAGGTTTCAAAACTAACTTTCTTTTTTTTTGCCTTTTGTGGGACAGTAGTTCTTTAATTTCACTATAAACATCAAGGGGGGATTCATTAAAAATGCAGATTTAGGGTTATATCTTAGGTTTTTTAGATTACCATTTTAAATAGCACACAATGTGGTTAGGAATCAGTTTTAGAATAGTGCAATATTACAGGTTTCTCCCTGAATAAACAGGAAGCACCTAGGCTCAGGCTCAAATGACACTGGTATGAACCTATAGTTCTGGTAGAGAAGAGCGGGACTTGAACCAGAGGACTTCTGAAATCAAATCTATATTCTAAGCCATCTTAATTTTCATGAAGTGACACTCACCTTCTTGTGTTTGTTACACACAATGAAGTACTTACCAGTGACACAAAAGTTAATAACTGTGATTTTAAAAACCACAAAGTTGACCCTTAACTAAAAATCAGTCATTCTTATCCAGTGTTGAATGAGAAGTTAATAATTCTAGAATAGCTACTTTGAATGCATTAAAAATGTTTTCAGTTCAATAAAATTGACAAATTTTTAGTGTATTGACTAGGGAAACAGAAAATGCAAATTAACAGTATCAGAAATGGAAGTGGAAAGAATACTTGCCTAGCATGTGAAACTATGGGGTTCAATCCCAGCATTGCATTAAAAAAAGGTGGGAGAAGTAGAAACACTACAGATCCTGTAGACATTGAAAGAATTAAAGTGGAAAGAATACTTGCCTAGCATGTGAAACTATGGGGTTCAATCCCAGCATTGCATTAAAAAAGTGGGGAGAAGTGGAAACCCTACAGGTCCTGTAGACATTGAAAGGATTGTTAGAGAGGTTGGAGATGTGGCTTAGTAAAGTGCTTGCCTAGAATGTATGAAATCCTGGGTTCACCTGCAGCACTGCATAGACTGGGAATGGTATGGTATACCTGTAATCCCAACCCTTGGAAGGTGGAGGCAGGAGAATCAGGAATTGAACATCATTCTAAGCTGCAGAGTATGATGCCAGCCTGGGCTACACGAGACCCTGCCTTTGAAAAGATAATTAGAAGACAATACGACCAGCTCTAGATTTATGTTTTTATTTTACTTTTTTTTTGGTTTTGTTTGTTTTTTTAAGTCAGAGTATCTCTGTAGCCCCAGCTGGTGTGGAACTTGCTATATAGGTCAGGCTGGCCTTGAACTCACAGAGATTTACCTGCCTCTGCCTTCCAAGTGGTGGGATTAAAGGCATGCACCATCACACCCCACTCAGACTTAAGTTTTTAACAACTTCAGTGAACAAATTCTTTGAGATACAACCACCAAAGGTTATTAATGAAATAGATAACCAGAGTAGATCTGTTCTTAAAACTGTATGCTCAGATGATTCAGTGGTAAATTCTATCAAGCACTTATGGAAGAAATAATATTCATTCTGTACAATTCTCTTTTGGAAAATAGAAGTGGAAGAAATATTCCCCATCTCATTTGTCTTGGCCAGTAATACTCTGATAACAGAATTAGACAGGTAGAAGAAAAAGCACTTAAAATTGTCTTCACATGCTTATCTCTGTAGTTACAGGTAGCTGTTCTTCCTCCATGAAATAATGGCAACTGATGTATTTCTTTCATTTCACTTTTCTGGTCTATTTCTTTGGGAATGAATATTCTTCCTCTAATTCAACCCAGATGACACTTCACACTTATGTGGCGTTTCTTTCTAGTCAGGAGTGCTTTTCTTTCTTAGGTCCCTTCATCACACTGGAATCACTGCATTGTAAGCCATTCCAAGGCATTTTTGTGTGGTGTGACTATGCCAGCTATCTTGGAATTACAAGAATGACCCCAGTATTATTCTTCCCCTTGTTTGGAAAATACAGTTGCTAAGAGAAGCAAGATGGCGTTAAATACTTAAATAAATTGTAATTAGGAATGCTTGACTTCCATTAACCTTATTTCATTGTAGTAGCTGAAGCTGTTACCATGCTATGCAAAACTGAACATACTCTTTTTATGGAAATGAAATTTTCACTAAATGTACCAAACAGTTAATCTAATTTTTATAATAGTTTACACAGATCCTTTATAAGATGGCATTAGCTAACCTTTATTTAAAAGTACAAATAATGTGTATCTATGTTACTATTTATAAACAGAAGAGTTTGTAATTAAAGTATATAGCAGATTATCAGTGACAATTATGTTAGTTTTAAATTTTGAAAGAGTGAGACAGTGGATCAGTCTTGAGAAGATGCTTGAAAGATGACCTAAGTGCCCAATGCAGTGGATGGAAGACCCATTTTGTCATTTAACCAATCTTAGTCATCTTAAAAGAACAATGAACTTCAATGTTCCACTGCTTGCACTTTATTTTCACAGACATTTCATTCATTATGACTCTAATTTGAGGGGTAAGTCTTCTGAATATACCTTTAATTTTGGACCAAACAATTTGTCGTGGCAATAAATAATTACACATTTAAGAAGAAACAGGATTTTATTTGTGTTTGATTTGATATACTCTTTTTTTTTTTTTTTGAGACAGGGGGTCTCCCTGTAGCCCCAGCTGTCCTGGAACTCACTATGTAGACCAGGCTGGCTTTGAACTCAGAGATCGGCCTGCCTCTGCCTCCCAAGTGCTGGGACTACAGGTGTGCGCCACCATGCCAGGCTTGACTTGATATACTTTAATGTGTAAGAAATTATATATTGTAGAATTTCATCTTGCCAAAATATGATAAGGTTTATTTAACAGCATACTTTTTAAAATTTTTGAAAATTTCATACATGAGTATTATTTTTGTATTTCCATCCCTCCCAGTCCCCCACCAATTCTTCCCATGTCACCCCCACTCCCTCTGAATTGCTTGTCCTCTTCTTTATTATTGTCACATATACACACATAACATTTATATATATACAAACACACACACACACACACACATATAAATGCACTGAGTCCATTTAGTTGTGCTCCTGTGTTCCTGTGTTTAGTGCTGCCCACTTGGGATTAGATCACTCTTGGAAGTTTGTCCCTGGGGAAAACTGATTATCCCTCCTTCAGCATCCACTGATTGCCTAACTCTTCATCTTGAGTTGGCACCCTATTGACATTTCCCCCATCCATCCTAGCATGCTGTAATGGATTGCTTTTGTTGTCAACTTGACACAACTGGGTAGAGGGAACCTCAATTGAGGAATTTCCTCCATTGGATTGGCCTGTAACCACTGTGGGTGGAACCACCCCTGGGCAGGAGGACCTGTTGCATAAGAAAGTAAGCCAGTAAACAGCATTCCACTGTGGTCTGTGCTTCAGCTCCTGTCTCCAGGTTGCTTTCCTGAGTTCCTGCCCTGACTTTCCTCACTGATGAACTATGACATGACAACTGTGAGAAAAAAAATAAATCCTTTCCTTCCCAAGTTGTTTTTGGTCAGTGTTTTGTCACAGCAATAGAAAGCTAAGTAGAACACACACCAGCTGGTTTTGTTATGCAGAGCTTGTTAGACGGCCATATTGTGGCAGTTTCATTGGTGCAGCTTCATGCTAGCAGCAGGTGTCTTGTCCCTCTGACTCTTATTCTTTCCACCCCTTCTTCAGTGATGTTCCCTGAGCCTTGGGTGTAGAGGTTGTATTGTAGATGTGTCACTTAGGACTAGGCATCTCACAGGCACTTATTCTCTGCATTTGATGAGTTGTAGAACTCAGTAATAGTCTCCAGCTGTTGCAAGAACTTCTTTGATGAGTGGTATTTAGTGTATTTAGAATACAATAAGAAATTACATTGGTCTAGGGAAATAATAGAGTAGGTTTTTCCCTAGGGACTATGACCTCCCCATCCATGTGAATTTGGCAATGGTTACAGTACCACACATGATTTCCCTACCATTGAGCAGGCCTTACTTAAGTCCAATTAGACAGCTGTTGATTATTCCCAAGATAAAAGTGCCACTGCTGCACCAATATAGTTTGCTGGGCTGGTCATTGTTGTGGTTCATAGACTTTATAGCTGAATAGGAACATTGGTTGGTTTTTTTCCCTTGGCAGCTTGCATTCTAATACTATGAGCTGGTCTTCAGGGAGAAGGTTTCCAGGTTAGTTCCAGCTCCATTGGTCCAAGTCATGTCCAAAATATGGCCTGTCTTCAGCAATAGCATCTTGCCTTCAAGTTCTGGAAAGCAATTAAGGGCTGTGGCAATGGCCTGTGTTAATCTGGGTGTCTCTTGGACTACCCTCACCAACAACACGAAGGTTTCCTGTACCTGGCACTGTGATTCTGTTAAATAGCCATCAACTACCTACACATATACACACACTCAGTAGACTTTTTAAATACTAAATTTCTGCCCCTGTAAAACACTCCTTCCCCATTTTCTCCATTTCTCCCTTTATAACTCCTGTTTCCTACTATCTTCCTTTCTTGGGCTCCTCTTTCCCCATT